GAATACCTGCTTCCACGTGGTATCAACAGGAGGCTGTCTATGAGCATCGCCTGCATTGAAATCAAGAACCCCGTAGTCTCTCAACCGGATCTGGAAGAAAGAAACCCTTATATTTTTTTATACAGGAGTACTAAGGCATGGATCATCCAGTGCAACTCATATATATGTGAACCCACAAATTCAAGAAACACCATTTGCTATTTTCCATTGCAACTCCCTTCTCTAGAAATAGTTGTATCATTTCTTGTGGATTTGTAGATTCACAGACCCGTGTAATTTTCAGTATTTGAAAATCCATTTTTATGAGTTAACTTGACAAAATAGCATCGTCATTTATTTGTTTGTTATTGCATCATGTCTTTATTTATTCAAACTATACAAATCAATATTCACTTCTTTTGGTAGGGATAGGTTGATTTCCCAAAGTACAATGCTATCATTGCATGGATGTGAATCCTTATCATGGGTTGATTTTCATTCATGAAGGAGGGATGTGTGTGTTTCCACTCCTTGAATGATTGGAATGACTAAAAGTACTTTTATTTTGTAATTTTCTTTTTATATTGTATACATTAAATTCATACATAAATTGCCCCTAAGTGAAAGTTTACTATTACAGATACCAATTATGTAACAGTTAATTATAAGAATGACCATTTATGTATGAATTTACTGCCATCACATGGACCATTGGACCATTTCTATATAGGTTTGGTAAAACAAAGACAATATGAACCATTTACATTGATGCATCCATGATACAATCAAGGAAAAAATAGACCCATTCACAACTCATGCAAAGCATGGGTACCTTCTCTAGTTACGTAAGAAGAAAGTCCCGTGATAACTTTAAACCAATTTATTATTCTAGATAAAAGTAACAATATTTTAAGATAACTAAAACTAATATATATATATATATATATATATATATATATATATATATATATATATATATATATATATATATATATATATATATATATATATATATATATATATATATCGGCTAAATGAAACTCAAAGTTACATTAGATCAAATTTAGCGAAACAAAGCAACAATGTCAAAAGATAATTTATAAGTAAAATATTACATTTAAAAAAAAAAAAAAAAAAAAAAAAAAAAAAAAAAAAAACGAACCATATATAACTATCGGCATGTAGTTGACATGTAGTTGTCATGACCGTCGAAAGAAAGGTATTTTGCTAATTATATTATTGATGAATTAACAAGTCCTTCGTGGGTTCCAGTATATTCGATAGCTTGTTTGTACGACTCACTTACTTATTCTTTAAAAATGATATTTAAATAAGACCCTAAGATGTTATTCGATGACATACCAACGAGCTAACTGTGAATTGGAAAACCACTATTGTAAAAATCCCGACTAGGTCACGATTAATCCTAGACGCTACTCGACCGATTATAGGGCATCTATCAATTAATCCCTGCATACATAATGAGTGAAACATTATAAAACGATGAAATTTTAATATTTTGAAAAAGTTTTATTTCAATGGAAACAATCAGAGGCATGATTAGTTTTGTATTAATCATATTAACCTATTTTATTATCATATTAGTGGTATTTACGAACCTTGATATGATATTAGTCATGTTTGATTTTTTAAAATTCAACAAATTAGCAATTAATGATCCCCGATTAATCTCTCGATAAATCCCCACCTAACCGATTAATCCCTTGACCCAGTCTATCGACTGGTTAACGTCGAAAGTTTTTTACAACCTTGTGGAAAACTAAAAGATGACATACCAATGAGGAAAGTGTTAATTGGAAAATAATCCAATTATGTTTGATACTTAATTAAATTCACAAAAATGATTCTTTTTTAAAATGATTTTTTTTTCCGAATTTTGAAATTGATCACTTACATGTTCAATTTACATGTTCAATTATGGATTTGATCTTTAAATTTTGCTTCTTTTTTTTTTCAAAGAAATCTATCTATTTATGTCCGAAAATATTTCGAAGTTTTTAATCTTACCGTTTTTCAACAAAATGTTTGATTTTATGCCCTAATATTATATATAATTCACATTATTATGTTTAATTATTTTTTTTCTTGAGATTCAGGAATTGTTCATCGATTTCAGACTTAGTTTTGAACTTCCCACGATTTTTTTCGAACTTAGAAATTTAAGTCTGGAATGTTTGTTTGAAATCCCGGAATGTCAGACTGAATTTTATTTTTTGTTAGAAAAAAAGTTTTTCTCAACCCATAATATTTATTCCAGACGAAGTGGTTACTTTTGCCAAAAATAACATTTTTTTTAGTATTTTCCAAATACACATTAAATTGTAGTTAGATTACATAATTTCCTTCTTATTTATACCTTAAGGTTTGTCTAAATGACTAATGAAGTCTCATAACAATTTTATTTGATCGCTTAATCATCTTGGAAAATGGATGCTCATAAGGCAAATGATTAACATAATTTTTCACTGGGTACGTTCTTATGATGTTCATCACCCCATTTATATAAAAATGTATAGAATTAATTGAGAAATCATTTTATATTCATCACCCCATTTATATAAAAATGTATAGAATTAATTGAGAAATCATTTTATATGGAAGGTAATTCTGAACATATGTATAAAGCCACATTAATTCTCATTTGATTCAATAAATTTTAGTAATTTTAGTTGATTTTACATTTTTATATGAATAAGAACCCTAATAAGGTTAGATAAGGATGAACGATGCACCGATGTCATTGCAATGAAAAGGCCTTAACACTATTAGACAAAGCATGATCTTGAGTACTAAAAGAAGAACTACTGCTTAACATCGGATAGAGAACACCTTTGCTTCTATCGAGTAGAAGCGTTTTCTTCGTAGCAATGTCCTTATCAAAGAAAACATTAAGATAAATTCAATGAAGACATTATTATCCGAGAAGAGTCTATGAGTAGACATAAGATGTTTGTTAATATGAGGCACATGTAAGATATTTTAAGAGCAAGAGGTTGACTTAAACTAGGAATTAAAAGTGACCAAATATAGGAAATTAACAAACCTACTATGTTGGCCACTTATACTTGATATTTTCCATGGTAACGTTCTTGGATGGTCAATCAATAAAGATCATTTTTAAGGTAGTATGTTGATCATGTATCAATATACCAACTAGTATCAATATTGTAACCTCATGTGTTCATATTATTTCCTACATGATAAGCATTATTCTCCTGCATGATAAGCATGATTAAACCTGTTATGATAGTTTAATGTTATGTGACTAGTATGCCACATATTTAAGTGTGTGGCCTGCCATTGCTTTTTACACATCTATGACCACGTCCATTACTACCGCCACCATGGTAGTTATTTTGTTGGTTATTGTTGGAGGTGTATTACCTATTGTTGTTGTTGTGATTACAATAGGGAGCATTAGCATCTTGGCGTGAGACACTGTTGGTGGATGAGGTCAATTATATTATTCTAATATGTTGCCTAGAGAGGTGGCTAGGTCTTCATGAGGAATTAGAGAATAATAGAACCCCCGAAGGGTTACCTTACGCTCATTGCTTAGTAAAGTAATGGTCATGAAGAGATCACTATGTCCCGATCCGAAACTAGCTAATATATAACCAATCACTTCTTGTCTTATTCATCAGTCATAGTCCACTAATGTTTCCCATTGTATCAGCAAATCCTACCATCTTTTGGTAATATTATGATGCACACGTGTCTCCCTTCCTTGTGGTTGAGAGCTGCTTACGGATCTAGATGGAGCTTCTATGATCTTGAGTAAAAAACATAATGTAAGGTGATGTTTACAACTGATTTGTGGTATTGATACAGCATATGAAAGAATATCAATGTAGATATCATTGTGATCCCCTGCTCTAATAAAAGAATCTTTTTTTTGTCCATGTGGCATATCCTAAAACCATCTCCTAAAATTTTTTCCCTCCTATTTCCTATCAAAGTTAAATTACTATTGTATCATTGATCCTTATAACATGTTGATTTCTGGGCCCAAACGCTTCTAAAAATACATTTATAATTCTTCAAAATTGGACATGATATTAACTACAACATTGATTCTACTCCTCAATTCGTCCTTATTTTTAATATATAACTAGACCCATCTTTGCAAAAAAGTAAATAGATAAACTTGGAAAATTAACTCACTTTATTTTACCAGAAAGGACCTAGGAGATAAATCAGTCATCGATGGGCTTTTTTATTAGGTCTAGGTATTTACAAAGTAATACTTATTATGTCCCTCAAACTACACAAGGTTGTATTTTCGTCTCATACTTTCACTTTGATAGGAAGCCACAAATATACTATAACATCTTAGTTCAATTAAACTTTAGAGCTCGCATCGAATTGTCCCACACAACACTAGCAACTCAAGTCTTATAACAATTGATTTAAAATCTAAGTACATTTCAAAAATTAGACTATTTTTTAACATTTATATAAGATTTTAAAAAATTTCGATCTAGCAATTTTTCAATTTTTTTTTTATGATTTTAATAAAAAATGTTTGAATTTTTTTTTCAACCCTCTACCCCATCGTGTCTCAGAAAATCCACGCCGTGGGTTTTTATAATCTCATGAAAACTCACATTTTTCAACCAAAATTTAATCTAATTTAATCACTAACATGCTTTAATGACCCCACACTTGAATAGATGCAAAAATCAAAACAAGAAAAAGAAATTAATCAAAGACAATGAAAGAAAATGCAAACCAAAAGATCGGTTTGCCTCCCAACAAGCACTTCTTTTGCAGGAGTCGTGAGTTGGACTCCTTCCCACTCAATGTTGCTACGAGTAGGAGTAGGATCTCCCTATTCTCCTTCATTTCCATTTACTTTCTTTTGTAGGCCGCAACGCGTCTTTTATACGCCTTCTTCGTGTTTTCCTTCTTCTTTTTGTTAGTGTTTTCTTCATGCTTGCGTTTTTTCCGTTTACTTTTTCCAGCCATCTTAGTCTGTTGTTCATCTTCTTGGTGTCCTTTTACTTCCACATCATGTCAAGTGTAAATTCTAAACTATTTCTTTTCTCTTCTTTGTCACCAAGATCTTCATATATAATGGTTTCCTCAAATTCGACTTTGGGTGTAGTGAATGCAAACACTTCAAATATCATGGTGGTTGATGCTCGAGGCTTTGTGAGCTTCACATCTTCTTTCGGTTTAGGCTGATTCCAAACTAGAATTTCCTCCTCCATCACTCTTTCTATTTCTTTTAGCTCATTGACACCTTCTACTTCTTCTTTGGTCTCCTCCACATCAGCTAAATCATTCATACATAATACTTCATCTATATATTGTAGGTGTTTTGCTTTCGGTTCACTCCAAATGTAATTTCTTCATCTTCCCCTTTAAGTATAGGCTTGGAGTCATGGATGTCAAAAACTTAGCGAGCAGATCTTAGAAATGGTCTTCCCAAGATTATTGTAAGGTCTTTGTCTTCTTGATGGATTTTGATACAAAATATAAGTTAGTTTTTTCATAAAAAAAAACATTCAACTGAAGCGTTAAAAATAACAAGTTTACTTCTGAGATTATAACAAAACCAAAACAATTAGGATCCATTTATAGACGTTAGAATAATACTAAAAACTACCATAAAGTGTTTTATAATGACAACCTATGAAGCCTTTAAACCCGCTTGGTTTGGGGTTTTGATGAAGATAGCAAAAATCAAAGAGTATGATTTTTCTATGTGTATCCCCCAACAAGAATAAGGCACTTGGAATGCTAGTTCCTTCTTGTATTCTTTAGTGTATTAAGACTTTAATTAGTTAACTCAAATAAGCACTAAAAGGGAAAACTCAAGAGGGCTTCTAATCACCAAAATAGTTTCAAAAGAGAGAGAAGTGGGGAAGAGAAAGGTGGTTTCGGCTACACTAAAGAAGGGAACAAAAACTAGCAAATTTTCATGCAAGAAGCTCTCATTTTATATCCCATGCAAGTTAAGCGATTTACATTAAAATACTCTACAGTATTGGCAACCTTTAGGAACATGGGAGACATGGTATGAAGGTTGATAAGCAACCTCCATTCATTTAAGCAACTTTCAGTCATACCCTAATATAGAAGAAGAAGAATTGTTTAATTTTAAAAAACGTAAAGTTTATATATATAAACCGTCTTTAGGTAAAAGACAAAAGGATTCAACTAGTCAAAAAAGTTGTGCATGACTTATTAATTCATACCATATGAAATAATAACTAGCTAGAGTCTCTTATAATTATTATCTTCACAAAACAATAATTATTCCCTAAATAAATACAAGATTTGATATTTTTTATTAATAATCATATTAATAATAAATATATAAAATGTTCAAACTTGATAAACGTGTGACCCTATAGGATCATATTTTATTAGCAATATCACTCAATAATGATTCTTGGGCATATAGATTCAACAATCTCCCACTTGCACAAGATTCATTATAGACTAGCATAGACATTAGCCGACATTTAGCAATGGGCTACTGCCCCTAACAACATGATAAGGGTGCAATCTCATCAAGAGCCAATTCCAGGAAACATTTTATATAATTCATTTACTAAAGCTGTGATATCAGTTAGGGACATTAGCCCATTGCTAAAGGTGTGGTATCAGTTATTCCTTTGTCTCGGACATCATGTTGAACATGAGGTATGGATCACGATCAATCTCATGCAGTGTTCAACTTTTAGTAAGGTCTTTGATGTTTAACTCTCAACAAATAAGTGGAACAAATCCTATCTTGACTACATACACCCATTATCTAGTTCATGTTATACCCAACGATGACCCTTATGAGTGCCTTTTATAAAACAACATTAAACCATGTCAAAGCACAACAATTCCAACACTTTACATCCCAAATATGTATCTCAGGTCTAAGAATACTAAGATACAACCTTTATCAGAACATCACTCATGACTATGATCCACAAAGTGATTTTGATGCGAGTCAGATCCAATACTTATTTTCCTAATCAAGTACCTATGAAGTTGGTAGCAACTCTTGTTATTATCATCTCCATGAGGATCAACCAATCCCCTCATATTGGTGTTACCTCATAGATGCTCCCACAACTATGAATGACTATGGACATTTAAAATAACCTAGTTATTCAAGGATTTAAACATGCTAATATAGCACACGACAATTATTTAATGAAAGACTTATATCCAATATATCAACTCTTTACATTATATGTTGTTTGCATTGTTACAATATCCAAATACTAAATTACAATCAAACACATCCACTTAGGAAAACAAGGTCCTATCGCACTAGTGTGACTCTCATGCTTTAGCTAATGAAGGAACCTAGTTAAGTAGATTCGACATACTTAACTTGTTTAAACTTTGCGAATGCAAACATTTTTAATTATATATATAACTCATATATAGAGAAATCTATTGTGAATGCACTAGATGCTTAAATACGAATTAAATACCAATACTCACATAATAGGATTACTTACAGTTATAATGAACTATACATTAAGCGTCTTAGTATTTAGTTCCCCGAACAACGATGTATTCCAACTCTGATGTGTAACCGTAATTAAAATCCACATGGAACCACTATCCATGTAAGTTTCTCTTCATCCATGACTTATTCTCGGATTATACTGGTATCATTCGACATGCTCTAAACATACAACTTATATGGCCTTCATGCATAATCATGACATATATGATTAATCCAATTGCAGCAGCATATAAATACAATCATGTTATCTAGTTCAAAACATTGTACTAGGATTTTTAGGAATACTCAAAATCATGTCATGTGGTATTGACAAGATAAACTATCTTAGAGTCTTATATCTCAAGCTCTTTAAGATCCTTGACAATTAATGCGTATTTACTTAATCCTTAAAGTTTTCATGGTCAATCTTTATAGATCATTATTCCAAGAATCATTATGTCAGTCACATATAAGACTAGGAATGTTACTACGCTGCTACTAGGCTTATGGAAAACAAAAGAGTCATCTTCATTTATAATTAAATCACGTTATGTGTTTATCCTATATGAAATAAGATTCTTACTTGAGATGTTAGGTCAAATCTAAATTTTTTTTATTCATGTATATTTTCTCCTTTGAAAACTCACTTACTCTTTATATTCCTAATATATCGAGGAATATTAGTCAAGTCCATACTTGATAATCATACATGGACGCATCTCAATATCTTCTATTAGTTGCTGCTATATATATATATATATATATATATATATATATATATATATATATATATATATTTGTTGCACTAAGCATAATTCCAAACATTTTATAAAGTAAATAGTTCTTTAAAACATCATACAATAGAATGTAAGGCCTATGTTTTATCCTCTTCAAAAACTTGTACTATCAACACTCAACTAGTGGTCAAGTAACCCTATCCCACTAGAGAATACCAAGGCTACCTCGAACATCATAAGGCAGATCAAAGTGACCAGGTAATCTTGTGCCACAAGAACCATACAAATGACGAGTGAGTGTTTTTGATAGAATGAGTTGTGAATTGATTATGCAACTCTTAAGATATTCCAAGAAGTCTTGGTTTATAAAGCTCATCTTCTTCATCACAACGAAAGGTTAATGATGGTCTCTTTAAGTTGTATATCAGTCTTCACTATGAAGCAATTTGAGCAAATCAAAAGTTTTAAAAAGTTCGAATAAAAGTCGTTAGTGAAATTGACTTAAATATATATCACCAAATCTATTCATGGATTGAAACTATTGCATACATCACTAATGTATAATTCTTTATCAAGCCTTTTTTTCTTTAAGTACTAATAGATAAAGACACTTGTGAATCATTTTCCCATATAAATATGATTCACATATATCAAATGAATCAAGTTCATTTGCCTTCAAAAATTCCATCATTTTGAAGTTGGTATATATGTGGTTCATATATATATATATATATATATATATATATATATTATATATATATATATATATATATATATATATATATATATATAGGTGTTACGATCAGAACGATCAATTTAGTGAATATTTATAAATTAATTTCATAAATAACATTATGAGAAAATATTCATTAACTCACAATACATCGTTCTATGTGACATCCCAAAATCACGGCCAAAAAAGACCGATTTAATTTATGTTTTTTAAAATAATTTTTAGAGTAACCCTTTTATTTAAAAGAGTTGCGAAATTTGTTTCCAAAACAAAATATGATAAATAAAATTTATCAAAGCATTCCTTAAAGAAATGTATTTTTATATATAACCAAACTCGGTATGTCATGTTCCGATAAAGATCAAAAGCATAAACGACATATTATAAGTCTTACAACAGTTATACATAACTACTGTCCTATAAACAAAATATCTTCACAAGTTGTCCAACTTATGCTCTCGCGCCACTACCTGTAATACAAATAAAACTAAGTGGGTAAGGCTTGGGAGCCGGGTGATCATATAGGGTTTTCAACCCACAATAAATAATTATATTTAATTTCACCAACCAACAATAACGCGATTACCCATTCCCGTTATCCTCACTTTACGTCCCTATGACAACAACTATTACAAGGGACCTAATCTAGGATTTTCATCGGGATGGACATTACTGAAAAGGGGTTTCCTCGATAATAGATGTCCGAAAGGCAACCATGAGGGGATAGAGTACACCAGTGAACACATCGTTTACAACACCTACTGGTTATGAACCTGTCAGCGTTCCACTGGACTATCTAGAAAGAGTCCGTGTTCGTCATCTATACCCCGCTAGATGACTAGATCAACAACAACATCGAGGCGTCTCATCATTTTTATTTCATCACACATCACTATCTACCCGTGTTCTACCCAACATATTTGTAAATAAAATATACTTGTTTTATACATAGTTTAAAAACCTGTATTGCATGTTCATTCATACTCAATCCAAATAACAGATGATACATATACACATAACACGTATTTCATAGAGAATAAATCATATATATGCGTTTAGAAGATAACAATAATACACTCACATAAAAACATATACCTAATACATTCAATCGATACTTGTATTAAATCGTGTATATGAAAGGGACTATGCACTCACTTGATAAGATGATTATCGGACAATACTTCGGCTCTAAAAGTAGTATTCTTCGGTGAAACCAGGATGCTTCCTTGAAAACCAGGTTTCTCGCGGTCAGAGTTTCGGCTCGGGAACTCGGTTTCTTGAGATCTTCGGGGCTTCGGGACTCGCTTCGAGTCTCGGGATGATACTGGGGCTTCGGGGGTATAAATTACATGTAAA